TCGGGGAGGTGGTAGGATAAGGATACTTGGGCCCTTTAACCCGCAGCGATGGGCGAAAGCAGCTATCCTGAGGAGGGAGGGTGAAGGGGAGGGTGTTTGATCCCAGGGTTGGGCCGAGGCTGCCGTTTTGGGTTGGGTCCCTGACGCGTGCTTTGACAAGCGTTTTTCCAATGCGAGCTTGTAGATCCAGTTTGCGCTGATGGTCTGGCACTTTCAGCTCCACAAGGTCCCTGAGGAGCTAAACAGCTTCGAGACGGTGCAGAGGTTTAGCAGGAGCCGACGCAATGCTATGTGCGGCTGAGCACTTCCAGCTTCTAGGGGGTGTGAGAGTGAAGGGGGGAATATGTGTGATGAAACAGCAACTAATGAGGTTGGGGATGGCGGTGGTGTGTGTTTGCAGCGGGAGCACAGGGGAGGTTGTAATCAGCGTTGAGGAAAAGGGGTTGTTGTAAGGGGTACTTGCTATTCCAGTAATGCGAATTGTTTACTACTCGTGCCTCAATATACCCAGTTTTCAGATATCAACACACATACATATGGCAGCTAGTCCTCTGTAACATGTAAACGTGTAGTTTGCATGTCGTTACTGTCGCTTGACGTCTTCAACCGGATTGGTTACCGAGCGGCCCAAGTGCCGACATGTTTGTGCCACCAACTGGCATGGCACAGGTTACACAGTTTGACACCATTTCCGCACTTTTGTCGGAGCCGACGATGCAACCCGTGTCAGGTGATCTTGGCAATTCTGTGTTCAACGTCATGGAGGATTCGTTGGTAAACTGATGAGTGACTTCATGTCCTGGTGAAACACAGCTTGATAGCTTGCAATATCACACTTCTTCCGAGACACCCACTATCCCTTTTTTGCTTGAATTTTTCCGTCAGCCAAGGTTTGTCATCTTACTCGCCATGAGAATCAAGAGGGGATGCAGAGCCGTGTCCCGCGCAGTCGCAACCTTGTTGGTGTCTGGAGTTTCTGTTACCTAGCCTTCACGCCTTCACAAAGGCCGAAGCCGCGAACCATCGCCCCACAACTGAAGTGTCTCGGACCTCTCGGCTCGAAAGCCTCCCAGCTGAACTAACATCGCAGATCCTCACTTCTTTGGCTAGCCTGGACGATCCCAAGGCCGACGCCTCGCCCGTGCTCTCCCAGAACCACCGGGCCGACCGCAACCCACCAATGCTTGATTGTGTCTTCCGAACCACCCTTGGCGGCAATGTTGTTGTGGACGCCTTCCTGACCCAAAGGGTCAAAGGTCGGCGCAACTCGAACACCCGTCTCACCTCGCAGCTCACCGGGACGCCCGTGGCCCAACTGTTCATCAACACATCGTTACCAAGAACACCGCGCCCATCCATCCATGCTAGCTAGCGGGTGCACAACTGCATGCTGTCGAGATGGCAGCCTCCTACTGGTTGACGGTTACGCCACTAATGCACCAAATTCCGCAAAGACCCCTTCACCACCTCTGCGCATCTCTTCCACCGGGCCGGCTGAGCGGACTTAGAGTCGAACGGGAACGCATTATCCGTGTTTTTTTCCGTTTCCACATGTGGTACAATCTCTCCAGGACCCAGTCCGGCGCCGTAGCCGGCAGCAAGTTTGTTTCTTCCATGGGGTCCGGGGATGCCGATGCGCTTTTTCCATGAACCGTGCACAACCACATCTTTGTAGATCTCAAGCCGCATCTCCATCCTCGGCCCGGGGAACTGGGACCCGAATTGTCGGCGCCACGAGCATTGGCAACCAACAACCCGGAGACCACTCCGGAGAACAGTCCCGAGATTGACACCCCACAAGCGAGAAGCCGCTCTGATGGAGTCTCCCGATCCGGGCACCCAAACAAGCAAGCACGAAGTAATCACGAATCCACCATTCCCCATACGGGGAAAACCCACCCACCCAGGCGGCCGAAGCGCCGCTCAACAGCCTCGTCTCCAGGGGCCTCGAATTCCAGCTCCGAACCATGACAACCCTCATCATATGCAATCCTCCCCCCCAACCAACCAACTACAACCGCCGCCCCAAAAGCAACCTCCCCGCCACCTCACCGAGCCGCTCACACAGCAAGTTGAGTTGGGAGCGGGTGAGGGTGGTGGAGTGGACTGTGGGACGGGGTGTGGAGGCTGAAGGCGTTGGGGCGGCGACGGCGGTCCAGATGCACGGGATTGTGAGAATGGTGGAATGGTGGCCAGTGAATGGGGGCCAGGGTGATGCCCCTGGTAGGTGGGGGAGTGGGAGAAGCAAAGATGTCTTAGACTACCCAGCTAGCTCGACACTAACTACATAGGTAAATCACGAAGAAAGCCCGGGTGGGGAAGGGGGGGGGTTGGATGGGGCAGGATAAAAATAAAGGAAGAGTGGAAAACGAGGAGAAAAAGCAAAAGAAAAAAAGTGAGACAGGCTAAGAGACCAAGCAAGATGCTCGATGTACCAGTGATGGGGTCGATACACTAGTACGATCGATCGCCAGGTTCATTTTGCCCCTGTCTCAGGGAAGAATAGTTACGGAAATGAGATCGGGTATTGTTACCGCCCCGTCGTCAAGGAACCCAGTGAATGGAGGATGCTAATAGTGAAAGGATATAAGGGGGACCCAGTGAAATACTACGAATAGGGATATGCTATACTCTCCATGCACAGTACATTCGCCCGATGCTTGTTATGTCAATATATACGCTGCTGGGTACGGTGGTGCCTGGAAGCAGTGAAGGCCCGGGGTGCGGCGAGGGAGGCATACCATTTCCGGCCTCGAACCTTTGAGCTTGCTTTGCAGCAACAAACACAACAGCAGCAAGAGAGACTACTACGGAGGATGCGGAGCGTCACATTCCGGGGTGCGTCCACCCTGGAGGAGGCCGACGATGGCTTCCAAAAAGCGGGAAAAAGGAAGAGACCACGGGGCCGACCCCCCGGCTTTCTCATAGCCCAGGAGGAGGCTGCAAGGAGTTCGAGGCAAGGAAAGCTGACCTTTGCGGGGAAGGTTGATACGGATCTGACCGGAGACCGAGGAGACGGTGTTGGGGGCCTAGGGGTTACGACTCCAGAGGCCACGGATACCTTGGAGGCGGACGGTCAGGATGTCGGAATGCAGGGAGCTGGGTAGGCTCCCTTCAACCGTAGCACGACGAATTCTGAAGAGACGGGCCAAGGTAACATCGGGACAGGTTTTTAGTCCGACGGGGAAACCAGGACGGTTTTCCTGTACAACTAGCTAGATAGTTGGACCGGCGAGCCCAAGGGCATAGCGGTGTAGGAATAATAATAATATATACGCTGAGCAATGAATAGCGGGCTGGATGCTGGAAGTGATTATTGCCTTGTCTACCTAGGTATCTAATGAGTAGTTACCTAAGTAACGAAGACCGTCGAAAGGTCCGATGAGAAGTAGTGGATTCAAAGGGCCTACTTCGTATTGGGAAGTAAGTCCACGCAACAAACACTCCTAGAAAGTGACAACAGGGAGACATGCAGAACTGGCTCTAAAGTTGGGTGCGGCTGTCGGTGTCTGTCGTTTGTTTATCCTCCGGTTGAGGTTCATCAAAGTATTCCCAATACCTATCTTATTCACGCACCAGCTACGAAGGTAGGTAGGAGGCTCCTGTGGTGCTTCGCATAGAGATAACTTATTCATCATGATATAAGGGTATTGATTCACTGTTGGTAGGTCTTCTAGTCCTACGAACCCTACATCAATGCTGCGAACGAGAGCATGATGAGAGTCGTTATCACACCCATGGGCCTCTACTCTGATTCTGTGTCTACCACTGTCAGATGGCGGACCGGCATTTATCAGTTGAGCGTCACCCGATTAACCCAATGGAATGGAAGGGCTTTGGAAGTAACAAAACATGGGGATGCCCTGTCTGGGCCTCATCGAAGAACACAACCACCTGGAGCAGCCCAATCATATGGATAAGGAAGATAGCAACTACATATTCAAGGCTCTGCGGGACTACATTCACACCCCACCCATTAACATGTAATTCACCCGATACAATCCAGATTGGGAGCGCATAGATACCTAGGGGGTGAGCAATCCAGAGTTCCAGACCCCCATTGTACTTTCCCTCGTGTTCTGACTTCAGCTCGCAGCGACTGGTCTAAGATGGACTTTAGGGACTCGGAAAGCTCGTACCTCTGTCCCATAGAGAGGATCTTTGAATCCAGAAAGACTTACAGGCCGCATGTCCGTGCTTCCTCCACGGCGTAGCCACACTCCTCGTCGACAAACTCAAGCGGTAACGCCTCGGCTGGCAATGCGCCGGACGAGTCGCTAAACGACCGCAGAGGTGACTTAGAGATTAGGAGTAAGCAAGACCTTTGCTGAGCGGTGCAAAGGGCCTTGGGCGTAAGGCTCCAGCTACTCAACTGCGGTGATAGTTTTCTTTTTGTGATGGGCCATACCATACGAGCACATATCACAGAACCATGACTCCATGAGGTTGCTGAACCATCGGAGAGTCAGTGGGCCCATCGCCGCACTGTACGAGGTACCATGGAGTCAAATGCAACTCAACTAAATACATACACGAATGCAGTCAACGAAGTCGGACTCAGGTGCTTTGTGCTTTTCCTGCTCAGGACTAAGGAGGCAACTAAGCTAAGGCATCAGGCTGTTTTGAGACTGCATCCCGAATACCATGTGAAAGTCAGAGGGAGGTCACTGCCATGGCGAATACACAAGCAGATGCCCAGAGAGATACCTCGACAGACGTTTCCACCACACAGCATCTTCAGCAACGTTGTCGTGATGCTTCTTCCAAAAGCGCCGTGCCAAGCCCGCGTCGCTGACGGGCTGACAATCTGCAAGCTGCTGAAATTGGGTTCCAGAACCCCTGCATAAAAGGGGGCTTGGCGTTGCATCCTCCCTCCCATCCCAGCGTCGCATCATGACACGGTCCTCGCGCCGCCAGCCAAAAAAGAAAGTCATCTTCAACACCACAACCTCCTCGGCCGACGACTTCCCACCACAGCATCGCCCACGGGTATCCCACAACGCCCCTCACCCCACGAAACCCACAATCTCTTATCTTCATCCCCGTCCCCAGCCCCAACACACTCCTCCATCCAACCCACGTGCAGACGGTGCAGCAGAAACCACCTCACCCAAAGCGACGGGACCCTCAAACCTGCCTGACCAACCCAACCAAAATGCCAATCACCCTCCCCACCACCACCAACCCCCCACCATCATCACCATCACCATTAACAACCCCCCTCTCCCCACTCGCAACCCTAACAACACACCTCCGCGCGCACATCCTTCGCCCGCTCACCTTCCAGGACACGCGCGACAAGGGCGCCGCCGCGACCGTCGTGCTGCGGGGCGTGGCCAACACGGCGCATTTCGTGCTCACGGGCGGCTCGCCGTGGTGGGCGCCGCTGTACTATGTGCTGGACCAGCTGGTGGTGATGTACATGGTGGGTGTGGTGGCGGGGGTGAAGGGGGGGAGGAAGCTGGGGGGGTGGAGGGTGGTGAGTGGTTTTTTTTTTTTTTTGTTGTTGAGAAGGGGGGATTTGGTGGTGTTGCTTATTTTTTGGCGGTTTTTTTTCTCTGTCAGGGGTGTTCTTTTGGCTTTCGGATTCGGTTCTTTTTCTGCGGGTTTTCTTTTTGGGTTGCGGTTCCTATTTGGGGGGTGGTTGACTGATAGACAGACAACGTGGGGGGACGGGCGGGATTCGGTTTTTTTTTCTTCTTCAAACCCCCACCCCCACACACGTTGACTCTGTGCTTTCGGCGATCACACAGAAGAAATGAAGCTGACTTGGAATTTGCTTTCCTGGCAATTTAGGACGAGCGGTTTTTCGAGTACTTCCTGGCGGCTTGCGGTGTCGTGCACGTGCTGTACATGGGCATCTTGCTCATGTGCGTCGTGACCTTGGCCATCTTCTACGGCGTGACGGGCGGCTTTGTCCTGACGATCGCTGGCGTGGCGATCCTGCCCGTCGCGTTGCTGGCCGCGCTGCCGGAAGACGGAGAGAGCGGACCAAGTCTCCCGTGAACGGCGTGCATGACGCAGCGATGGCCGGTGTGGTTCTGGTCCGGGCCAGCTGGGAGGCCGGGAGGCCGGGTGAAGCCTGCGTCCGATGAGGGGCAAGGGCGTGTACGATGGCGATGATAGAGGCTAATTTTCGCATGAGAGAGAGTATGAGTGAGCGTATGGCAAAGAGGCGGGGTGGGCGCGAGAATGTAAGGCCGATACGGCTACTTTCTAATGACGGCATCAAGTGGCACGACTCAAACAGCAGGTAGTATTGGTCTACATGTTGACCTGTGCTCAGCGGACTCTGACCACGCCTCCAAATCCCCAGCCACATCCACGAGGTCCTCCAACGCAGTCTGGCCGCATTCAGGTCCGCGGCTTGTTAGCCGGCTCACCCAGCGAGTCCTTGCTGGTCAACCCGGTCGGGTCTCCAGAATGCGCCGCCCTGCCAAGGTTTGGGTCCAGGCCGCCCGTCATGTCCGGGTGCTGCTCCCGGGTCGGCCCCGTGGTATTGAGAGCCTCCTTCCTGTCCTCCTGCATGGCTAGAAGCGGAGAGTGAGTTTTGTCGCCGGGGAAACAGAGAGAAGAACAGCGTACCCTTCTCGTCCATCCTGGTTACCTTCTCCAGTCCCTTCTTCATCGTGCTCTTGGCTTTCTCCATGTTGAGTCCTTGTAATCCAATGTCAAGCAAGATTAAACTGTGGTCGGACCTCCGGGTGGACGGACGGCAAGCTTGTTGGCCCTTTGACATGTATGGCCGTCGTGGTGATGTCATGGCATGGAGCATGACTCGCTGTCTCGCTCTCGGTCCCATGGGCGGGACGAAACCCCCTGAGGATACGGTCCCCAAGCAGGGATGCTGCGTGGAGCATGGTTCTGCGTTTCCTTGTCACCGGGGGCCTGGGTGTAAACCGCAACTTGCCATTTGTGGTCGAACATGTACGCCCGGAGCTGAATGAAGGACGGACTCATCAACCCCATCGGCTGATAAATTCGTCCTTTTTCGCGTTCCTACCCTTCAATTGGCTCACCCCGACGTCGATGCCTTTCAGCTTCTCATCAACGGTGGCTAGTTCTTGGGAAAGGACGGCAATGGACCCCTCAATTTCGGGATCCATGAGCCGGGCGCCCCCGAATGAGGTCTCGGCTAGGATGGAGTCGCGAACGAGCTGGATTGCCAGCTTCCCGTCGGCAACCTGCTTTGCTGCTACCCCCTCGAAGCTCTGTTGAACATTGAGAGAAACATCCCGCATCTTTCTCCGACGGCTATCGAGCGTTGAGGATAGAATCTTGACCTGTTCCCGCAGATCATCGGCTGCTTCGTCGTCCTGCGAAAGATTGATAGCAAGGGCGCGCAGGATCTCCTCTAGTGGCGGCTCGTTGCCAATTCCGGGCGCGCCAGTTGAGTACCTCGACCGCTGCTTGGGTCGAGGACGGACCGGGGACATGTCATTTTGTTGTTGTCTGGCACTCGTCGCCCGCGTAGGGGATGCCTCGGTGACTTGTGTCTGGGTGTCCAGTTCCGGCTTGGCGACCTCGAGAACGGCATCGGTAGCGGATTGGTACGCCTGAAATGCATCTAGTCGAGCCATCATGTCTTGTGCACGGTCAATGAGATAGTCTAGGCAATCGTGGATCTGTGCTGTTAGCGGAGAACATTCTGCAGACGGTGCTGCTACTCACGTAGCTAGTTGCCCGGGCCGATTTGGCTATGCTCTGACCATTCTTTGTGGCGAGGCTCCTCAGCGCTGGCTCTAGAAACTGCTGCTCGGTCGACATTTGGGCCACCGGGAGAAGTTCCGAATAGAGGGATTCTAGCTCCTCTTGTAACGCCGATACTTGGTCGGCCGAAACTCGAGGGGGCCTTGACTGGGACGACATCTCAAGAGATTCGAGATAGAGGCGGTCTAACTTCGTTCGGATCCCCTCCACGGTGAACTTGATCAGCCTGTCACGTTGTAAGTCTCGACCAAAGGGTAAAAGATGGGGGACCGGGGAGCGAACCTTGCGCATGCTTCACGTAGCAGAGCGACGTCGTTCTGTTCCTCGCCGTCTTCAGTCTCTAACTCCCACCCTAGCTTCTGAAGACTGGACAAGAGTTTGTCATCGGAGCGGAACAACGTGTCCACGGTTTGCTGGATTGTCGCACCAGCCCCGGTGCGCTGCTGCTCGAGTTCGCGGATGCGAGAGCCCAGCGACTGCGTGAGCTCGTCTGCCTGGTCAAAGATCAGGATGGGACACTTGAGAAAACACGCGATAGGTGGTAGGAAATACCTCTAATGCGAGGTTGCTGCGTTCAGCTTCCCATTTCCGGGCCCGGCCTTCTTGAATGGCGACGCGTTCCCTGTTGCCTTCGCGGCCGGCATCAACAAGGCGTCCGAGAGCTTCCTGTTGCTGTTTGAGGGCCTCGGTATGCCGCGTAATAGCCTTGGTGGAGCGGTTGAGTTCGTCTATGGCGTCCTTGATCTCCTGGTCACTCAGAACACGAGCCGCGGTGAGGTCTGACGACATGGCAAGCTTCTCGGCCACACCCGATTTTCCGAGGGCAGCATATCTGGATGGACATATTAGCATGGATGCCGATGAGTAAGAAGCGGAAGCCCACGGACTGGTTCAACTCGTCGACGGTGAGCAGCGTATCGGGAGTGAGGTGAAGCGTAGCCCATTGCACAAGATGGGCCGAGTCAGAGGCCGAAACGGCTGCTCTCACCGCTGCTGCATCCAACGACACGTCGTACGCCCGCAGGATCCTGATCAGTGACTCGGCGTTCATTTCGGAAGAGGATCGAGAGAATGGGCCACAGCATGAAAGTGAGTTATTACTGCGTATAGTAGTCAGGTGGTTATCTCCGTCGTCGTTTCAAACAATGCTCGCTTGTTCTCGTCGCCAAAAGTTGCATGTGGAGCCTGGGTTTTGGAGACGATTGAGACCCCTGGATGCATCTGCCGGGCTGCCCCACGTTGCCCCGCGCTAATGCAACGCTTTGAACGCGCCGTGGCCCATGCTTCGCGCCAAATCGCGGCATCAAAGTGGCCCTGACGTCTGCTTCCTTCCACAACAGAAGAGTTCGCGAAAGCTCGCCACGGTCCTTCCACATTTTCGTTACGTCCGTATTCGTACCTGCCCTGTTAAAGGTAACCTGGAAGGTACCTACCTACCTTGGCAATTTTGCTCTGCCGCTCGCTGTTGTGAGTCGTCTGCTGTTTCCCGCAGCCCTCCGGCAGATGGCCGCCAGGCAGGTGCCAGTGACTGCCTTCAAATCCAAACATTTCCAGGTTCAGCGCCTGCTTTCTCTCTTCCCGGCAAATGGAAGTCATTGATCTTCCAAGGTCAAGGTGTCATGGTATGCCATTCCGCACTCGCACAGAGTTCAACAGGTTCTACCAAGCATCATCATAAACTTCACCTTCCCAATTCGTACGCGCCCGCTTCCAGGCCCTCCGACTCGGTTCAAGAATGCGCACACGACTGCAGAGCGCTTCTTTTATGGCCAAACGGCAATTGTTGTCGAGTCATTTGTCTATCCGTGGAGAATTGAACCGAGAATGGACGATATAACGGCGGCCACACTTTGGGTGTTGTCTTGAACGCGTGCAAACCATGACCTGGAAACCCTCCAGCCCGGAAGGGCACAGGGTACCTTCAGCTGCGCTTCCCGGATTACGCTAGATGTATGGCCCCGTCGAACTTGGCTAACCCGAGCGGCAGTGAGGTCCCACTCCTCTACATTACTCTGCTGGCAGGCATTTTTATGGTTCTGGGGATCATCGTAACGCTTCGGCCGAGTCTTGTTCAACTGGGCAGCGCTGGTGCTCCCAATGCGTTTTGGCGGCGAGCGTGATGCTGCCAGTGCCACTGCCTCCGTTTCGGCGGAAAGCACTGTGGCCCTCCCAAGCCCCCAACAGCGACGTAACACAACATCAGGCTTTGCAACGGCTGAGGCGAGAGCGCTGTTGTGAGATGCCAACTCAGAACCGTTTGGCCGCCCCGGACGATGGGAGGGTGGCACCCAGGTGTTCTGCAGAAAGATTCCCTACCCAAAAGAAATAACCGAACTGTGACTGCCTGGCATCATCTAATCCTTTAACTTCAGATCTGAGCAACTGACGGTCAGGTTAAGCTTAGTGACGCAGCACAAGCACTGCGTCGCGGACCGAAGGCTCGTCCAACGCCCTCACAGCCTTTCTCTCCCAACCCCCTTCGCAAACTAGGCACAAATTCCCAACACTGGCAAGCCGCCTCGTGCTCTGGAGACAAAATGTGATGCCGCCATACACCTGGATAAACGGCGGCTCGAACCGCAGCCAGCCGTTGTTGCGAAGCGGGAATGCGCATATCCGCCACCACACGTCGGGGCCCTGCGGCTTCCCACCGTCCTGTTGACGGCTCTGTCGCCGGCTGGTCTGTTTTTCCTGTTCTCGTTTGCGGTCGGTCCACACAATGCACGGATTTGGTTTACGCCCCCAGTTTATCCCAGCTTCCCTATCTGACATCCTGACGTGAGCCGTGCCCAGCCTCTCCCAATCCCGAGGGGCCTAAACCTTTAGCCCGCAGCCCGGCCGAGGGCGTTTGCCGGGGCGTCCCCGGTGGCGTCCAAGTACCGAGCAAGCCACGCCGGTTCGGCTCCTCGCCGGCCGTATGTGGACCATCCAACCCGGCTATTTACTGAGGCTGGGCACAACACTCCGTTTGAGGGTCGGGTTGATGGATAACATGGAAAGGGGATATTCTTCCATTTCGGTCGCCAGACAGCGGGGAAATCTTTGGGTTGGGGCTCGATGAGGGAATCAAGATGTGCTGACCCCGGCGGGGAACACCTCCCCGTGTCCCGTCCCGTTGTCGGGTCGTTTCCACAACCACGCCGGCTCGTTTCCTGCAGTACCCTGTCCCCGCACCTTCCTTGCTCTTCTGTCTGGCACAAACACGCAGGCAGTCGCAACCCGAGGCGTCCCAAAGTCCGTTGGGGGACTCTGTCCCGAAAATGGACAACCTACACCGACATGTTGACGTGTCGCTTCAGCACATCACTTCGGGGTATGTCGTGAGCCCTTACCGGCAAACACAGCCTTCTGCAACACCCCAATCTGTACATTTCATTCGTTCGGCGGCTGGATCGACCCCGGTTCTCTGCTTCTCCCGGTTGGCGGGCATCTCCACGGTTCGGCAACAAGTCCAACTTCCCGTTTGGTTCGTGACGGGACGGTCTTTGTACCGGGACACTCAGCTGAGGACTAAATTCGGCCCAAGGGCCCCATCCCGGGCTTCACCGTCAGAACGGCCGCCGGAGCATGGACCGGGGAATACAAACATCAGGTCCGCTGCAGTGTGTGTTCCAGACACCACGGGCTGTTCCCGCTGCTGTCCCCTTAAAGTACAACTGTCGCCATCCTACTTTTGCTCCCAAGCTTCGTCCAAGGCCATGTCTCACTGCCTGACGTGCGTGTGCCTGTGTCAGAAGCAAACAATCTGCCGTCCACTTATTGCTCGCCGCTGGACCCCTCATTTCTCCGAGCGCCGGTGCCGTGGGACTGGGCCGAGACCGGCATGGCTTCGTTGCCCGTGCGTCCACCTCCTTCCACGAACCCTGGGGCAGCAACCACCTTGTCTCGGGAATGGATAGACTTGCTAGAGAGGTTGCGAGATGGAGCCATTGCAGTTGTCCTTGCCTTGGTCGCCCAGCTGATGATAGCTGCCATCCAACTTGGTTTGGACCAGGAGAAGTCCGAGTTTCCCGCGTCCATATTGGCCATGGCTGCTGTATTTCTGGCCTTTTTTATGTGTGGGTGCGTCGCCCCCGGCCTCGAAGAGTTTTACAACAAGCGGTTACGGCATGCTGTGAGTACCAATGCTCGATACTCTTGCCTTTCGGATCTGACCGAAGCAGACAGAGCTTCTGAACCGCCACATGTCCATCGGCTTCACCATTCCGGTTGTCATGCTCTGCAATGGCCCCGTATCAGATGTCCGCAGCATCGGCATGATCATTGTCTGCTTCGGTAAGCGGATCAAGCTAGGTATCTGACGCAGAAAGTTGGCTAATCTCTCCAAGCGCTGACGGGCCTTCTCAACACATCCTTCGCCTACTTCCTTACGTTTTTACTTCAGTGTCTCATGGTCCGCTACGACAAACATTTCTGGGTGGACAAGGGTGCCGATGCTGAAAAGGGGGGGAGATTGGGTGCGCAAAAGCCGCGCAAGCCCGTCAAATCCCTATGCGGAGGCTCTTCCTCCGGAAGCTCCTTGACCATCGGCCTCGATTCCTCAGCAGAGTCCTCCGAGACGGACGAGCCCACACCGCGACGAAACGCACCGAGAACACGCCCACAAACTGACACCCCGCCTCTCCAAACCCAACTGCAACTCTGGGCCCTCCGCAACCCCATCCTCCTCCTCTGCTGGCTGCTCACGCTCACCATCGGCCTACCGCTCCGCTACCACAGCGGCAACGACGTCCCCCTCGCAACCCTGCTCCTCTTCTCCACCTGGCTCACCACCCTCGCCATCCAAACCGCCATCAAATCCCCGCAAAACCCCCTCCCCTCTTGGCTCCGCACCCTCCTCTCCGGCCTGCTCAACCCCGTCCTCTGGACCTCCCTCACCATGATCGCCTACATCTTCACCGACGCCGCCCTCAGCCGCCGCCCTCTGCCCACCATGCTCGCCACCCTGCAAACCCACACCCCGCTCTCCACCCTCATCATCCACCATCGCCCAACGCCTCCAACCACCCCAACCGCCGGCGACGTCGCCACCACCCTCCTCAACGCCGGGCTCGTCGCCTGGGGCCTGAAGCTGTACTCCCACCGGCGGCACATCTTCTCGCGCGGCGGGCTGGGCCGCGTGGGGGGTCTCGGCGGCGGTCGCGCCTGGGGAATGCGGCGCTGGGGCCGGCGCTGGGCGGGGGGACTCGGGGTGGCGCCTGCGGGGGCGGCGCTGGCGTTTGCGGCGCGCAGTGTGACGGTGGCGTTGGCGGGGCCGGTGATGGGGTTGTTGGGCGGGGATGGAGGGTTGAATGCGGCGATGGTGGTGGGGAGTGGGATTGTGTATCAGATGGGGTTGGGATTGGGGGTGGGGAGGTGGTTGGAGAGGGTTGTTGTTGTTGGTATGGGCCCGGACGGGGATACGGGGCTTCTTGGCATCCTCGCCTCCCC